GAGTTATCTACCCTTCAATTACTAAGTTGACAATTTGAATTTGAACGAACTCATTTATTTGTTTTTTTCATAAATCAGAATAAATCACTTGTTTTACTTTATTCAGATAAACAGTTGAACCCATAAATTGCCAATCTGTCTAAAAATTTACAGATTTAAGCAAAGAACTAGACCTATAGTGAACTCATGTGAAGATCCAGCCATTTTCAAAAGCGGAGGGGAGGGGGTTCCAACCATATGTGTCCATTCTGATGCATTGATAGTTTTAAAAAAAAGGGGGTTCCAACCCCTGGACCCCCTCTGGATCTGCCACTGGTGAAATGCTATTTTACAATCCAAAATGGTAGTATACTGGTATCTATACTAAGGATTCTGAACATTTTAGTCATGAAAAACATCAAAGATGTAATTCAAACAAAGTTGTGTCACTCTGTTACATTAAATTTCAATAATTCTATTTTTGTCGAGCCTTCGACTTTTGTCGAAAAAGCGAGACATAGCGATCCTACATTCCGTCGGCGTCGGCGGCGGCGGCATCCACAAATATTCACTCTGTGGTTAAAGTTTTTGAAATTTTAATAACTTTCTTAAACTATCCTGGATTTCTACCAATCTTGGACAGAAGCTTGTTTATGATCATAAGATAATATTCAAAAGTAAATTTTGTAAAAAAAAAATTCCATTTTTTCCGTATTTTACTTATAAATGGACTTAGTTTTTCTGCCAGGAAACATTACATTCACTCTGTGGTTAAAGTTTTTAAAATTTTAACAACTTTCTTAAACTATCCTGGATTTGTACCAAACTTGGACAGAAGCTTGTTTATGATTAAAAGCTAGTATCTAGAAGGAAATTTTGTTAAAATTTTAATTCATTTTTTCTGTATTTTACTTATAAATGGACTTAGTTTTTCTTCCAGTTAACATTACATACAGTCTGCAGTTTAAGTTTTTAAAACATTTATTAGATTCATTAACTATCCTGGATTTTTACCAAACTTGGACAGAAGCTACTTACAATCAAAAGATAGTATAGAGAGGAATATTTTTATTAATTTTTTTGTTGAGCCTGCGATTAACAGCAAAAGTAGGCGAGACACTGGGTTCCGCGGAACCCTTACAAATTTTATTTTAAAACACGATCACTTACATACACTTTGTAACTATTAAAAAAAGTGAAACAAAAAATTAAATCCGTAACAAAATAAAATATATATAAAATGGGCCTAGGAGAATAAAGGATACAATAAACTCTACTAATTAAAAATGTTTAATTAATATAAATTCAAAAATTACCATTAGAAAGAAATATTTTAAGAATTATGAAAAAGCATGTTTGAACAAATTAGTTTTCAGTTTTATTCTTAAAACCTTTAACAGAATGAATGTTTTGTAGATCATATTCATGAACTATGTAGTTCTCACTTACCAAATGCCTTCTTTCAATTGAAAAAAACTTGACCATTCATGTTTAACATGGTTTGTGAGTATCTTACCTGGCCGTAGACCCCTGATTAGTTGTATCAGTGGCCAAATAATAGGAACAGTAAAGAATGCACTTCAAAAATCAGTGCTTATAAAAAGCAACTCGATAGAGCTAATGGCTTTAGTAGAATTGGCTGATCCAAAAATATTCATGAGGGGCACCCACTGACTGCCAAAGAGGGGGCTTACTCTAGTCATGCTTTAAGGATTCCCTAAATAATCAACTAAATTATTTCCCACAAAAGACAATTAGTTACTTTGACTAAGTGACTTTTAGATTAAAAGTTGTTCCTTTTTAAGCTCACCTGGCCCACAGGGCAAAGTGAGCTATTCTCATCACTTGGCCTCCGGCGTTGTCGTTGACTGTCATTATCGGCGTCCGTCATTAACTTTTTACATTTTGAACTTCTTCTCGAGAACCACTGAATGGAATAGAACCAAACATGGCATGAATCTCCCTTATGAGGTGATGACCAAGTGCTGTTACTTTGTAGCCGATCCAGCATCCAAGATGGCTGCCAGCGGAGGACTTAGTTTAACATAGGACTCTACTAGGAAATACATACAAATGTCTACTTTAAGAGAACCACTGAATAGAATAGAACCAAACATTGCATGAATGTTCCTTATGAGGTGATGACCAAGTGCTGTTACTTTGTAGCCAATCCAACATCCAAGATGGCTGCCAGCGGAGGACTTAGTTTAACATAGGACTCTACTAGGAAATACATACAAATGTCTACTTTAAGAGAACCACTGAATAGAATAGAACCAAACATGGCATGAATCTCCCTTTTGAGGTGATGACCAAGTGCTGTTACTTTGTAGCCGATCCAGCATCCAAGATGGCTGCCAGCGGAGGACTTAGTTTAACATAGGACTCTACTAGGAAATACATACAAATGTCTACTTTAAGAGAACCACTGAATAGAATAGAACCAAACATGGCATGAATGTTCCTTATGAGGTGATGACCAAGTGCTGTTACTTTGTAGCCAATCCAACATCCAAGATGGCTGCCAGCGGAGGACTTAGTTTAACATAGGACTCTACTAGGATCAAAATACATACAAATGTCTACTTTTAGAGAACCACTGAATGGAATGAAACAAAACATAGCATGAATGTTTCTTATGAGGTGCTGACCATGTGTTGTTACTTTGTAGCCGATCCAACATCCAAGATGGCTTCCAGGGGGGACTTAGTTTAACATACATTTTGAAGGACCCTATTTGAAATGCATACAAATGTCTTCTTTTAGAGAACCACTGAAAGAATGAAACCAAACATAGGATAAATATTTCTTATGAGGTGCTTACCAAGTGTTGTTACCTTGTAGCTGATCCATTATCCAAGATGGCCGCAAGTGGGGGACTTAGTTTAAGATAGGACTCTACGGGAAATCGTACAAATGTCTTCTTTTAGAGAACCACTAATGGAATGAAACCAAACATAGCATAAATGTTCTTATGAGGTGCTGACCAAGTGTTGTTACTTTGTAGCTGATCCAACATCCAAGATAGCTGCCAGCGGAGGACTTAGTTTAACATAGGACTCTACTAGGAAATACATACAAATGTCTACTTTTAGAGAACCACTGAATGGAATGAAACCAAACATGGCATGAATGTTTCTTATGAGGTGCTGACCATGTGTTGTTACTTTGTAGCCGATCCAACATCCAAGATGGCTTCCAGGGGGGACTTAGTTTAACATAGGACCCTATTGGAAATGCATACAAATGTCTTCTTTTAGAGAACCACTAATGGAATGAAACCAAACATAGCATAAATATTTCTTATGAGGTGCTTACCAAGTGTTGTTACCTTGTAGCTGATCCATTATCCAAGATGGCCGCAAGTGGGGGACTTAGTTTAAGATAGGACCCTATGGGAAATGTCTTTTAGAGAACCACTAATGGAATGAAACCAAACATAGCATGAATGTTCTTATGAGGTGCTGACCAAGTGTTGTTTTTTTGTAGCTGATCCATCATCCAAGATGGCTGCCAGCAGGGGACTTAGTTTAACAATTAGGACCCTACGGGAAATACATATAAATTTCTTCTTTTAGAGAACCACTACTTGGAATGAATTGGGTTTTTAAACACTGAGGAAAATTGAATTGGGTTTTCTTAGTAACTGTTACATAATAATGCAACAAACACAGCTAGTCATTCGAAGGAGAACCCAATTATTTATTAAAACTATGCCTTACCAACCCTATTAGCCGCTGCCAAGTGCGTTATTTACCCTAAATAATGAATTTTTTTTGCGTAATTTATTAATTTATTGTTATATTTGTAATTTTAAGAAAGATACTTTCGTCATTAAAAGTGAGCACCAATCAAAAAGCAATAGTAACTACTGGGACATTCTTGGTCACTTACATTTTTAAACGTTAATGTAACCGAAACAATATGGGTCAAGAAATTACAAATGGCAGAACTGAGTTCTAATATGAATCTTTAAATCATTTGTAACGATAAAAAATCGGCAACAGTTCATAAAATTTCTTTTAATTTACGCGGAATAGAAAATCACCTCTTGTGCCAAAGAGATAGTTATATAAATTATCTCAAAACTGACACTTATTCTGAGGAATATAGAAATGTCACCCATATTATTGATTCACTCATGGAGAAAGGAATAACTCTGTGTGCAATGGCACTCAGGTCATTAAATAACCATCCATCATTATGATCATATATTTATAGGGACTGTTTTGTTTACATGGACAATATTTTGGTTTATGTCACTAAAATTGGGTGATTAAAATAACTTTCCATGAATGATGTTAAATTGTTTTAACACATTCACAGAACTAGAATACTGCGACATCATACAGTCATGACAATGAATCAACTTTACCCAAACAGAGTAAATGTCTCAATTTGAAAACCATGAGAAAAAAAAAAAATACATTCAGGAATAGTTCACTAAGTGAAAAAGCCAATTCAACCTTTGCCTGAGGGGTGAACTTGAACAGATAATGCAAAAGGAAGAAATATTTCACTCAATTACATTAAAAATGATGAGTAAAAACTCTTAATTGTTAAATTTTTAACTGGAGCTCTGCATGTAATCCACTTAGCCAGTGTTCATGCAGAAATACAATAAGATATGACTATCTAATTGAAATGATATTAAAATTGTCTCCCTTGTATATTGTCTATATCAAATTATATAACCAATAATATCTATCAACTGCTTTGGATATTTAATCAAAAACCAATTGCATCAGTTTAATATAAAGATATTAAACTTTTTCGAGTTTTTGCTTAAATTTAATTCAAAGGAGTCCAACCAAAGATTTATGTACTGGATTGATTTTGATGTAATGGGTGTATATATTTAGTTTTTTAGCTCACCTGGCCCGAAGGGCCAAGTGAGCTTTTCTCATCACTTGTCGTCCGTCGTCACGTTAACTTTTTACATTTTGAACTTCTTCTAGAGAACCACTGAATGGAATGAAACCAAACATGGCATGAATGTTCCTTATGAGGTGTTGACCAAGTGTTGTTACTTTGTAGCCCATCCATCATCCAAGATGGCCGCCAGCGGGAGACTTAGTTTAACATAGGACCCTATGGGAAATGCATACAAATGACTTCTTTTAGAGAACCACTGAATGGAATAAAACCAAACATGGCATGAATGTTCCTTATGAGGTGCTCACCAAGTGTTGTTACTTTGTAGCCGATCCATCATCCAAGATGGCCGCCAGCGGGGGACTTAGTTTAACATAGGACCCTATGGGAAATGCATACAAATGACTTCTTTTAGAGAACCACTGAATGGAATAAAACCAAACATGGCATGAATGTTCCTTATGAGGTGCTGACCATGTGTTGTTACTTTGTAGCCGATCCATGATCCAAGATGGCCGCCATCGGGGAACTTAGTTTAACATAGGACCTTATGGGAAATACATACAAATGTCTTCTTTTAGAGAACCACTGAATGGAATGAAACCAAACATGGCATGAATGTTCCTTATGAGGTGCTGACCAAGTGTTGTTACTTTGTAGCCGATCCATCATCCAAGATGGCCGCCAGCGGGGGACTTAGTTTAACATAGGACCCTATGGGAAATACATAAAAATGTCTTCTTTTAGAGAAAACTCTAAATGGAATAAAACCAAACATGGCATGAATGTTCCTTATTAGGTGCTGACCATGTGTTGTTACTTTGTAGCCGATCCATCATCCAAGATGGCCGCCATCGGGGAACTTAGTTTAACATAGGACCCTATGGGAAATACATACAAATGTCTTCTTTTAGAGAACCACTGAATGGAATGAAACCAAACATGGCATGAATGTTCCTTATGAGGTTCTGACCAAGTGTTGTTACTTTGTAGCCGATCCATCATCCAAGATGGCCGCCAGAGGGGGACTTAGTTTAACATAGGACCCTATGGGAAATACATACAAATGTCTTCTTTTAGAGAACCACTGAATGGAATGAAACCAAACATGGTATGAATGTTCCTTATGAGGTGCTGACCAAGTGTCGTTACTTTGCAGTCGGTCCATCATCCAAGATGGCCGACAGTAGGGAACTTAGTTTAACAAAGGACCAATGGGAAATACATACAAATGTCTTCTTTTAGAGAACCACTGAATGGAATGAAACCAAACATGGCATGAATCTTCCTTATGAGATGCTGACCAAGTGTTGTTACTTTGTAGCCGATCCATCATCCAAGATGGCCGACAGTAGGGAACTTAGTTTAACAAAGGACCTATGGGAAATACATACAAATGTCTTCTTTTAGAGAACCACTGAATGGAATGGAACCAAACATGGCATGAATGTTCCTTATGAGATGTTGACCAAGTGTTGTTACTTTGCAGCCGATCCATCATCCAAGATGGCCGACAGCGGGGGACTTAGTTTAACATAGGACCATAATGGGAAATACATACAATTGTCTTCTTTTAGAGAACCACTGAATGGAATTGAACCAAACATGGCATGAATGTTCCTTATGAGTTGCTGACCAAGTGTTGTTACTTTGCAGTTGATCCATCATCCAAGATGGCCGCTAGGGGGGGGGGGGGGGGCTTAGTTTAACATAGGACCCTATGGGAAATACATACAAATGTCTTCTTTTAGAGAAAACTCTAAATGGAATAAAACCAAACATGGCATGAATGTTCCTTATGAGGTGCTCACCAAGTGTTGTTACTTTGTAGCCGATCCATCATCCAAGATGGCCGCCAGCGGGGGACTTAGTTTAACATAGGACCCTATGGGAAATGCATACAAATGACTTCTTTTAGAGAACCACTGAATGGAATAAAACCAAACATGGCATGAACGTTCCTTATGAGGTGCTGACCATGTGTTGTTACTTTGTAGCCGATCCATGATCCAAGATGGCCGCCATCGGGGAACTTAGTTTAACATAGGACCTTATGGGAAATACATACAAATGTCTTCTTTTAGAGAACCACTGAATGGAATGAAACCAAACATGGCATGAATGTTCCTTATGAGGTTCTGACCAAGTGTTGTTACTTTGTAGCCGATCCATCATCCAAGATGGCCGCCAGCGGGGGACTTAGTTTAACATAGGACCCTATGGGAAATACATAAAAATGTCTTCTTTTAGAGAAAACTCTAAATGGAATAAAACCAAACATGGCATGAATGTTCCTTATTAGGTGCTGACCATGTGTTGTTACTTTGTAGCCGATCCATGATCCAAGATGGCCGCCATCGGGGAACTTAGTTTAACATAGGACCCTATGGGAAATACATACAAATGTCTTCTTTTAGAGAACCACTGAATGGAATGAAACCAAACATGGCATGAATGTTCCTTATGAGGTTCTGACCAAGTGTTGTTACTTTGTAGCCGATCCATCATCCAAGATGGCCGCCAGAGGGGGACTTAGTTTAACATAGGACCCTATGGGAAATACATACAAATGTCTTCTTTTAGAGAACCACTAAATGGAATGAAACCAAACATGGCATGAATGTTCCTTATGAGGTGCTGACCAAGTGTCGTTACTTTGCAGTCGGTCCATCATCCAAGATGGCCGACAGTAGGGAACTTAGTTTAACAAAGGACCCTATGGGAAATACATACAAATGTCTTCTTTTAGAGAACCACTGAATGGAATGAAACCAAACATGGCATGAATGTTCCTTATGAGGTTCTGACCAAGTGTTGTTACTTTGTAGCCGATCCATCATCCAAGATGGCCGCCAGAGGGGGACTTAGTTTAACATAGGACCCTATGGGAAATACATACAAATGTCTCCTTTTAGAGAACCACTGAATGGAATGAAACCAAACATGTCATGAATCTTCCTTATGAGATGCTGACCAAGTGTTGTTACTTTGTAGCCGATCCATCATCCAAGATGGCCGACAGTAGGGAACTTAGTTTAACAAAGGACCTATGGGAAATACATACAAATGTCTTCTTTTAGAGAACCACGGAATGGAATGGAACCAAACATGGCATTAATGTTCCTTATGAGATGTTGACCAAGTGTTGTTACTTTGCAGCCGATCCATCATCCAAGATGGCCGACAGCGGGGGACTTAGTTTAACATAGGACCATAATGGGAAATACATACAATTGTCTTCTTTTAGAGAACCACTGAATGGAATTGAACCAAACATGGCATGAATGTTCCTTATGAGTTGCTGACCAAGTGTTGTTACTTTGCAGTTGATCCATCATCCAAGATGGCCGCTAGGGGGGGGGGGCTTAGTTTAACATAGGACCCTATGGGAAATACATACAAATGTCTTCTTTTAGAGTACCACTGAATGGAATGAAACCAAACATGGCATGAATGTTCCTTATGAAGTGCTGACCAAGTGTTGCTACTTTGTTGCCGATTTACTGTTCAAGATGGCCACCAGGATATTTTATTAAATAACGGGACCAATATTAATCAAAATTTGGCCTCAATCATTATTTGGGTATCTGTTATGATTTTTATCTATCTTTACATGATTTCTTAAACCAAAGTAGAGTCAGGTGAGCGACACAGGCTCTTGAGAGCCTCTAGTTCTTTATACAGTCAAATGTATGTGTTTCATTCTTTCTCATCTTTTATTGCCTTTAAATGGTGATTTTTACCCTTTTTGCATTTTTATGGGGGAAACTTGTATAAAATTGATAGAGTCGGAATATTTTGATTGTAAAATTTTCAACAATATTTGATTTTCTTTTACAAATTTTTTAACACTTTTCCAATTACTGCAACAACCACAAGAACAATACTTTATTTTAAGACGGTTACACAGTTAGCTATATAACTAATATAAAAATTCAAACAAAATGCAAACATATACATTTCATACATTTATGGTATAAAAGTCAAGTATGATAATAATGTTCAATACAACTTGATAAAATGTGATGAAAAAATAAACATGACAATAAGCTCTCAATATATTTTCAACAGGTTGATTTCAATAAATGATCTGTTATTTTGTATTTGAAAGAATTAACATTTGTAATATTTCTAAACCGTATTGGCAAATTGTTTCACCAGAATGGTCCAGAATATACAAAAGATTTTTAGAACAATTCTATTTTTGGTTTAGGGAGTTAGTGGGTTTCCTTGAACAACAACTCTCCAAGGGGTATGATTTTCTGTCTGAAACATGATGAATTTGTTAATAAGACATGATGGGGCATTATTTTTGATTCATTTAAATGTCATCAAAAACTTGTGATATTTTATTCTCTGTTCAACTGTCATCTAGTGTTTGAATAAGGGCTCGAAAGGAGCAAAAGGGTCTGTTTCTGGTATTAATCTAGCAGCTCTCTTTTGTAATTTTAATATCCTATTTAAACCCTCACAGCTGCAACTACTCCAAACTATACAACAAAATCAATTAGTGGCAAGATATGGGTCATTATAAAAAAACATGCAAATTTCGATGAAGTAATATTTGGAAAAACGATGTCATTGTTTAAAACATTTAAATGTGTCCCTCTATTCTATAGTATGGTAGCAACTATTTTCAGAAATATGCAATGGGAAAAATGAAGGGTTCCTTCAATTTTAACAATTTTAGGTCATCCTTTGATAGAATCGTGTCAATGGTGTTACCAATTTAAAACATGCTTTTATGTACTAGACATTATTGTTAAACATCAAACAACTGTTCCAATTTGTTGTTAAGGTTTACATTACTACTTATTGACATTATTCCTCTAGCTATACATTCTTTTTAAACATAAATTTCAGAATACATTGTCGTAAACAAGTTGGCTGTCCTAATTATGGCTGTTGTAAATACTAAAAAATACACTTAAATTGAATATATGTATAATGTATAAGATGAAATGATAAGAATATGCTTAATCCTTCGTATACAAGATAAAAACGCTTTCATTTATGAATAAAAATTAAAAAGTATCGCATTTTTAGCTCACCTGGCCCGAAGGGCCAAGTGAGCTTTTCTCATCACTTGGCGTCCGTCGTCCGTCGTCCGTCGTCGGCGTAAACTTTTTACATTTTGAACTTCTTCTAGAGAACCACTGAATGGAATGAAACCAAACATGGCATGAATGTTCCTTATGAGGTGCTGACCAAGTGTTGTTACTTTGTAGCCGATCCATCATCCAAGATGGCCGCCAGCGGGGGATTTAGTTTAACATAGGACCCTATGGGAAATGCATACAAATGACTTCTTTTAGAGAACCACTGAATGGAATGGAACCAAACATGGCATGAATGTTCCTTATGAGGTGCTCACCAAGTGTTGTTACTTTGTAGCCGATCCATCATCCAAGATGGCCGCCAGCGGGGGACTTAGTTTAACATAGGACCCTATGGGAAATGCATACAAATGACTTCTTTTAGAGAACCACTGAATGGAATGGAACCAAACATGGCATGAATGTTCCTTATGAGGTGCTCACCAAGTGTTGTTACTTTGTAGCCGATCCATCATCCAAGATGGCCGCCAGCGGGAGCCTAGGTTTAACATAGGACCCTATGGGAAATGCATACAAATGACTTCTTTTAGAGAACCACTGAATGGAATAAAACCAAACATGGCATGAATGTTCCTTATGAGGTGCTGACCAAGTGTTGTTACTTTGTAGCCGATCCATCATCCAAGATGGCAGCTAGCGGGGGACTTAGTTTAACATAGGACCCTATGGGAAATGCATACAAATGACTTCTTTTAGAGAACCACTGAATGGAATGAAACCAAACATGGCATGAATGTTCCTTATGAGGTGCTCACCAAGTGTTGTTACTTTGTAGCCGATCCATCATCCAAGATGGCCGCCAGCGGGGGACTTAGTTTAACATAGGACCCTATGGGAAATACATAAAAATGTCTTCTTTTAGAGAACCACTGAATGGAATGGAACCAAACATGGCATGAATGTTCCTTATGAGATGCTGACAAAGTGTTGTTACTTTGCAGCCGATCCATCATCCAAGATGGCCGCCAGCGGGGGACTTAGTTTAACATAGGACCCTATGGGAAATACATACAATTGTCTTCTTTTAGAGAACCACTGAATGGAATTGAACCAAACATGGCATGAATGTTCCTTATGAGTTGCTGACCAAGTGTTGTTACTTTGCAGTCAATCCATCATCCAAGATGGCCGCTAGGGGGGGGGGGGGCTTAGTTTAACATAGGACCCTATGGGAAATACATACAAATGTCTTCTTTTAGAATACCACTGAATGGAATGAAACCAAACATGGCATGAATGTTCCTTATGAAGTGCTGACCAAGTGTTGCTACTTTGTTGCCGATTTACTGTTCAAGATGGCCACCAGGATATTTTATTAAATAACGGGACAAATATTAATCAAAATTTGGCCTCAATCATTATTTGGGTATCTGTTATGATTTTTATCTATCTTTACATGATTTCTAAAACCAAAGTAGAGTCAGGTGAGCGACACAGGCTCTTGAGAGCCTCTAGTTATATAGTAACACCACTGACTCTTCAGTAACTCCAATGACACAAAAGTATCACCATTGACAACACATTTTAAATTTTACTTTTATTAAGTACTGAACACAAAACAGAGAACACTGAGCAAAAGAAAAAGAAGAAAAAATAATTCTTAGGCTTAAAAATCTCAAATTATATAACATAATATCAATAACTAAAAATGTCAGTAGTGTTACTAAATAGTGTCATTGGTGTTACCAGCATACACCAGTTTTTAAAAACTTTGTATATGTAATACATGATATTGTTAAAACATTGTTAAATAAGTATTGTTAGTTATAAATAATATGATGTTTCGCTTGTTAAACACGAAAGAAACACCAAAAAATGCTGATTGTCATAATATATTCAGTGGTGTTACTAAGCTGGTCAATGGTGTTATTTTATTAAAATGGTCTCACCATTGACAGTAACACCATTGATTTTCAGGTGTATTTTAAGGTTTAGTTACAAAATAAGGGCTCCATTCCCCTATTTTATATGGTGTTTCTGGTGCATGTTTCTACAATCAATATATTTCATAATTCAAAGTTCAGGAATTTAAAAAAAAAAAAGAGTTTTATAAGGGTACACCATGGACACTATTTTCAATTACGATATAGCTTGTACTACACTTTTAATATTTTTTTACTAAATTTTCAACATAAATGTTTGTTTTCTTTTGCGTAACATGCTTACAGGTAACATTGCTAAGGGAGAAAATATTGTAAATGCTGAAATATTGAGAAAGATAACTCTTACCCTACCAATTTGTCTTTTGGTTACACCATTGACTTAAAAAATGAGACTTTTCCTTTTGGTTAAATTTTTTATTATAAAACCAACATACACCTTACAAATCATTAAAAAAATGTTTGTATGTATCAAATGCAATAAAAAGTGATAATTTCTAATAACAAATGATATGAATAATAGCCCTAATTTAGGTCTGAAGGGATTTATAGTAAAAAATAACAGTTGATTCTGGCTATATCCAAGGGTTTGAGAAAAAATTAAGAATGTTTTTATAACATTTCATACTGTAAACTGTGTATAGTGTATCACAAAACATTCATATCTTTCATATGCAATAGTTATTTTGATACATTTTGATATAGTTTCATGTCTTTTGACTTGAAAAGACCAAATAACATAGTTTTGCATGTTTTTGTCGAGCCTTCGACTTTTGTCGAAAAAGCGAGACATAGCGATCCTACATTCCGTCGGCGTCGTCGTCGGCGGCGGCGGCGTCCACAAATATTCACTCTGTGGTTAAAGTTTTTGAAATTTTAATAACTTTCTTAAACTATCCTGGATTTCTACCAAACTTGGACAGAAGCTTGTTTATGATCATAAGATTATATTCAAAAGTAAATTTTGTAAAAAAAAAATTCCATTTTTTCCGTATTTTACTTATAAGTGGACTTAGTTTTTCTGCCAGTTAACATTACATTCACTCTGTGGTTAAAGTTTTTAAAATTTCAATAACTTTCTTAAACTATCCTAGATTTCTACCAAACTTGGAAAGAAGCTTGTTTATGATCATAAGATAGTATCCAGAAGTAAATTTTGTAAAAAAAAAATCCATTTTTCCGTATTTTACTTATAAATGGACTTAGTTTTTCTGCCAGGAAACATTACATTCACTCTGTGGTTAAAGTTTTTGAAATTTCAATAACTTTCTTAAACTATCCTGGATTTATACCAAACTTGGAAAGAAGCTTGTTTATGATCATAAGATAGTATCTAGAAGGAAATTTTGATAAAATTTTGTTCCATTTTTTCTGTATTTTACTTATAAATGGACTTAGTTTTTCTTCCAGTCAACATTACATACATTCTGCAGTTTAAGTTTTTAAAACATTTATTAGATTCATAATTTATCCTGGATTTTTACCAAACTTGGACAGAAGCTACTTACAATCAAAACATAGTATAGAGGGGAATATTTTTATTAATTTTTTTCTTCATTTTTGTTGAGCCTGCGATTAACACCAAAAGTAGGCGAGACACTGGGTTCCGCGGAACCCTTACGAATTTTTTTTATAATGACCCATATAAGGGACGACATCAAAGTTCAATGATGGATAACTGACCCCCTCTTAACTTAATTTGGGAAAAATTGATTGACCAATATGGATATATGTAAAAATCAATGTCGGATAACCAAAACTTGCAGCAGTTCAACCCCCACCCCCAAACTATTTGATTTCAGTTTGTTATCCTACATTGATCTTTTGATGTCGTCCCTAAGTCTTATAGAATAATTTTCTGCAGTCTAGATTTAGAAATTTCTTAATCTTTAATAGTAGATATAGCCTAGATGAAATTTTTGAGCATTATTAAGGTATTAAGTTTAAAAATTTGTCTGATGATCCTGCCCACAAACAAAGATGGCAGACATGCCTAAAAAATGAACATAGGGGAAAATGCAGGTTTTAGCTTGTATCTCTGAAACTAAAGAATTTAGAGCAAATCTGACAAGGATAAAAATGTTGATTAAGTTGAGATTTATCCAACCTGAAATTTTCAGCTTAATCAGCCACTTCGTTGTTGGGTTGCTGACCCTGAATTTGTAATTTTAAAGAAATTTTGCAGTTTTTGGTTATCTTGAATATTATTAGAAATAGAAATATACTGTAAACAGCAAGAATGTTTTTCAAAGAAAGATCTACTTAGGAGTCAAATCATTCAAATTGCCAATTGACTCCTAAGGGATGCCTACTTACTGATAATATAAATATTATTCATCACTTTTAAAAGACAATGGTGTTTAAGTTGAAACATTTTTGCAATTGCTTACTAGAATTTCATTGTCAATAATAAATTAATCTGAAAAAACTTGAGTTATTTCCCTTTGAAAAAGTATTGTGAAGTCTTGCGTTTGGTTTTAGCTTCCATCTAAATAAAACAACTGTCAACAACACATTTAGACGTCTTATTTCAAAGGTTGGAAACAACTTCAGGAAAAATTCTGTTGAACATAATACCATATAGCGGGTTATTTTTCACGGCGTGTAAATTTTTGCTTATTTTGGCAGATAGAACAAAATTGCCAATATAAATTCCGCCAATTTAAAAGTGTACATGCATTATAAGTATTGATACAAGTTTTGAATCCGCCAAAATATTTCGTATACCTTATTCAATAATTATCACGCAATTTTACACTCGCGAAAATAACCTGTTATACCGTATACCTTATTACCAATAACTCTCAAAATCACCAAATAAAGCTGAGTGAGTTTCACTTGTTTAATTGAATAATGGCCCGAGAACACAGTTATTTCGTAGTGCATTTCTTTTAGAGAATAAATTCAAATTAAAAAAATCGCACCTGCTCTATCTCAAAAAGATTTTTACAGTGTAGTGTACTACTATTGATACAAATAACATCAAAATTATAGAAACTTCTACCAGCTCTAACTCAAAATATTGACAATTCTGTGTTAAGGGGGGCTACAATTCAGTTTGACAGCTTCAGACATTCTAATTTTTGACCTTTTTTAACTGGACCAAATCACTACTTAACATAAAGATTCAGCACCCAATTTTTTTTAACATGTAATTTCATCCCCTTACTTAATATTTCATGCATAAAATATCAAGAAATAAATTGGCAAAGTGTATAAAAAAAAAATGCAAGTTATACACTGTTCACACTAGGGACTATATTTGTAGACAACGAAAACCAAAGGACGATAACTGTGTCCTTGGACCTAATAGGATAGAAAGACTTGACCAATTTCAATAAAACTTTGCATGACTTAAGCTTAGGAAATTATAAGATAGTTGGCCAAGTTTCATGGCCATAGGATATATATTATAGAAACTAGGGCCATTTTAGTATTGAAATTTGGATGTTTATTTTTGACGTTTAAATCAAATATTTTCAACTGTCAAGATTTTGGCCTAAAAAATTTAAATATTGCAAAAATTTGCTTTTTAAATACTCTTGAATATAGTATAATAAGTATTTAAAGCAACGGAACACTCATTTGATTTATTAGATTTATTACAGTTATTCAAAAGTCAAATTTATATGAGCCTGTGCCTGAAAATAGAGATTTTCGAATTAAGGGAAGCCTTACATAAACATGCATTTTTTTCAACTAATTTGAAGTTTTTGAAGTTTTTTAACCACACATTATTCTTCTATATATATTAAATGTACTTTGAGTGTAAAGAAAAGTTACAAAAAGCATACCACATGAGTATAAAATGGTCTTAGGCCATGTAAGACTGAGAATTATATAGAGTCGATTTAGGCCGTAGCCCATATTTACATATAAAAATGCACACAGAGGCTATAAGAAATGGAAATTTGTTACTTTTTGCTCATTTCTATGCTAAGATGTCATGATACAAGAAGTCTAATTGCAAAAGGACTCTTGAATTCAACTTTTTTTTGCAGACAGTATGGTCTGATGACCAGTTTTTCACTTTTCAATGGAAAACTTGCATGTAGTTTTAGTCTCAATTGGCATATATTTGAACCACTTACTATCCTAAAGAAGAAAATTATGGTAGCATATGAAATGAATAGGGTGTACTGATCATTGTAAAGTGTTTTTTTAACAGATTTAGTGAAATATTTGTGATGGACTACAGATTTTATGTACAAAGCTCTTCACATTTCACATACATCAAACAGGCCGTTTAACCAGGGACATAAATACAAATATTTTGCACATTTTTTCTGTGATAATCTACTTTTCTCTAGATTCAGAGTTCACAAATGGTTAATTAAATTTGATTTAAGAATAGAAACACAAATATCAGAAACATAAAAAGCTGTCAGATAGAAAGTCAGCATGGCTCTTAGGCATAAAATGGAAACTGCTTTAAAATGCTTATTTTAGCCGTATAATGCCAAAATGGGACATTTTAACAGAATTTCTGTCAAACAAAGATGTAAATCCTTTACTTTTATTGAGTTTGACAAATTGAAACCAGCAAACCATTCAGGAAAGTTGCCAAAGTACAGAA